GCGGCAACACATATCATATTGCATGCCTCATGCTAAAGACCCGAGAACTGAGTTGGTAAATGAGATGTTCAAATATCACCACAGCAGAGCTGACCCAAACCGTGGGTTGTCCCATCACACACCAGTGGCTCTTGTGCAAAGAAAAAAATTCAGGGAAGACCGAGGAGAGGAAGGATGAATGGGGAGGAAGCTTAGAAAAGCCAAAGAAAAAAAATCATAAAACAGAGTGAAACCAGCAGCAAGAAAATGAAGAGGAGATGATGTAACTAGAGAGACCAAGGGGAAGGATCTCATTGGCTCAGGCCTGGAACAAGAAAATTTGCCAGGGGCGGAGCCACACCTTCAATCGTAGCATTTAGGAGGAAGGTGGGGGGTGTCTCTGAGTTCAAGGCCAGGGCCACACAGTGAGACCTTGTGGAAAAAACAAACTTTTAGAACAACTTCCAGCTGGCTATAAAATGGGTGTGAAAATTTACCCTCTCAGCCTTGAGGACAGGAGGGACACTCACCGCAGCCTCAAGAATAACTGAAGTCAAGAGAATCGGGGACAGCATAAATGAGGCCAGCAGGAGGGAGGGTGGGCCTTGCTGCTGTGAAGGAACCGCACAGAAACATCTGTAGGAAGAACTGCCTACATCCCCACCTGTTCTGAACCCAAAGGGGTGAGTGTACGGATTCTAGCTCTGTACCCTTTTTTTTACAGTTTTTTTAAAGATTTATCTATCTATCTATTTATTGTGTATGCAACATTCAGCTTCCACGTGTGCCTACATACCAGAAGAGGGCGCCAAATCTCATTACAGATGGTTGTGAGCCACCATGTGGCTGCTGGGAATTGAACTCAGGACCTCTGAAGAGCAGCCAGTGCTCTTCACCACCGAGCCATCTCTCCAGCCCCTAGCTCTGTACTCTTTAACTGTAAGAAAACAACAATCCTTGCATCCAGTATTCCACTGCTGGTACTAAAAGCCTCTTCTGGATGAACTCTATTGTAAACATTATTTCTCGTCACACATAAACAGGGATGGTAAAATGTTACCTACAAAACAATTAAGTAGAAGTAAGCCCAGTGGGTCAAGTTTATGGAAAACGAAAAGAGCAACAACAAAAATCCCAGCAGTAAGCCCGGCGTTGGTGGCGCACGCCTTTAATCCCAGCACTCGAGAGGCAGAGGCAGGAGGATCTCTGTGAGTTCAAGGCCAGCCTGGGAAACAAGAGCAAGTTCCAGGACTGGCACCAAAGGCTACAGAGAAACCCTGTGTGTGGGGGGGAGGGGATCCCAGCATTCCTGGAATGGCCTCGGGCCTAATAAAGACTTCCTGGCCTGGGGATGCTGACTGAGTGCTTGCCCAGGGAATGAGGCCCTGGGTTTGATCTCCAGAAGGCACGTAAAATAGCAGAATGGCGGTGCACACCTCCGATCCTAGCTGTTGAGAGGTGGGATTGAAGGTCAGCCTGTGCTACACTGCAAGTCTGAGGTCAATGGAGCTTCATGAGAGACCCCGTCTCAAAAATGCCAAGGGAGTTCCCTTTATAAAGTCCAAATAAATAAATAGTTGTAAAATCCAGAAGGAAGGTATAGGAAAGTAACCAGCATCTGAAGACCACACAGGATCTCCAGAAGGAAAACTGACTCTGAAGATCCACAGCCCACAGAAATTTGCACAGTGGTGTCTGTCTCCCCACGGCGACAACCTCCCAGCGTAAGAAAGGAAAGTGCAAAGTGTCGGGGAAAAGGGGCTGGCTTCAAAGATCAGAAAACACTTGGGAGACACGGGGAGTACAACAAAAACTAGCACTGTGTGAAAAAGATGTAAGGAAATCTGACCTTGACAAGCTAATCAAAACATCAAACAATAATTTAAATGGCGGTACCTTGGGGGTTGAGTAAAGATGCTCTCAGAAGCCACAGGCCATTTATTGGACAATCCCAGAGCCAGAAGTGGGCCCATCTCCCACTGCTAGTCAGGGAGGACCCTGAGAGCCCCCTCCCACCCCAAAAACTGGTCCATTGCCATTGGCTGCTCATCAGAACTGGATAGCCAGATCCTATTGCTGAAGATGCCACACACTGTGGTTGTGGGACATAGGAAAAGAAAAATCAAGCTGCAGCTGGGCTGGAAGCTTCCTCCCCGCTGGCTAGCCCTCGTGGTACAGGAAGGTGCTATGTGGGTTGCCGGGGAAAACTGTCAGCAACCCGTGGTATTCAGTTTGTGGGCCCCGTGTACAATAACACTGACATGCCAGGTAAGATGGTCCCAAGGGTGCAGTAGTGGCAAGGCTGACTGGAGGGTAATCAATACTGGAGGCCTTCTCTAAGGAGAGAACTCACATCTGGCACCATAACCCTGGTCAAAAGCCTGTGGTTGGGAGGGTTGTAGGCCCTAGTGGGGAGTTACGGCTGCTGTCTTGTTAGGCACGACGTGCCTTTCAAACTGCCTTCCAGACAGCCAGGTAGATGTGCACAGCGCAGTGCTAAAGTCAGCAATGCTCATGGAAGTTTCTTATCTGCAGTGGCCAGTGGTAACTCCAGAGATACATACTAAGATAGAGACTAAGGATAAATGGTTACTGAAAGCTCGGCCGTAAACAAAACACTCCCCGAAGGCTTCATGACCACTGACGCTCAAGAGGAAGAGTAAACAGGGGAGACAGCACCGGCTTCTAGGCAGGACATGGCTGCTGTACTCTAGGCCTCACAGCCTATGCGATGACCTGCACAAGACTGGGCCTGTCAACAGCTCATCACAGAAGCGGAAGGGGCTCATGGGGCCCTGGCACTCCCTAAGGATTTATATGCAGTTAGCATTGATTAGAGAAGGGAGCGACATTTTCTTCATTAGTCTAGAAATCAGTAAAAGGGCATGTGTGCCTGAAACAACCTTAATGAAATTCATTGATCGGGGCATCATCATCATTTAAAAAAAAAAAAAATCAAGACAGCAGAGGGGAGGCTACCTGAGAAGAGGAAGCAGATCAGTGAGGTTGGGGAAAGGACCAGAGAAGCAATGGGAGAGGCTACGATCGACATAGATCACACACATGAATGAAAACAGCAAAGATGCTAATGAAAATTTAAAATTCACTTTACCCAAAAATTGCCCCAAAGTTAAAATTTCTCAAAGCAAGACAAGAAAGTAGGGGTGTGTCAGGGTGTAGGCCCTTGCAGCAAAGACAAGGAAAAAGCCAGTTGAGAACAGGTCATTTAGGAGCAGTTTGGAAGATACTAAATAAAACAAATAGATTCTGCCTTGATGAAGAAGCACAGGCTGTTAAACAGAAAAGCCACAGCCATTTGGTTCGTTTTGTACAAAACTGCTTGATTGTACAGCAGGAAGAACCTACCTAAGGGAGAGCCACCTGTCATAATTGGATTTTCACAGATAAAGAAACTGAAATTGTTTCTTCGAGGAGTGTTATAACACACGGAAGTCTTGCAGCTCTCTGGTGTAATTCCAGCCTTGGAGAGGGCAGGAGGCAGAAAGACTTCCTGGGCGAGCAGCCCACACTCACAGTGCCAATGAAGCTATTATTCTACAGGCTTTGTAGTCAGAGAAGAGCATCCGGTCTGTGCGGAACAAGGCTCCCAAGCACTAAAGAATGACCTTGGAGACTGGTCCAACTTCTTTAATGCACAGAAGAGAAAAAGATGACTTAGAAAGAAGAGCAAGCAGGCCTGAGCTCCCAGGAGGTGAAACGGGTCTCTCTCCCTCAGCAGCACGGATGCTTTGGTGCTAGATGTATCTGTGCGGCGGAGTCTGCCTTGCATGCTGGAGAATGCTTAGCATCAACTCTGGTCAGTAGCAATCTCTCCCACCCAAATGTGACAAAAATGAATGTCTGCAAACACAGCCAAAGGTCCTCTGAAAGGGCAGGGCCTGCCCAGTTAAGAACCACTGGCTTTAAAACTTGTGTGACCGACAATCAGATCTCTCTGAGGCCTGCCCTGATGGTGTTTCCATACCTCCTGAATGACCTTTTGTTTTTAAATAGATGGTTTGGAACTAGGGAGACATGATTAATGCAAGAAGCCAACACTAAAGCTGATTACATGTCAACTGATCAGCAAGCTCTTAAAAAACAGACTCCGCAAAGGTGGCTCAAACACACCGGCCTGCTGTACCTCATGTGACCAGAAACACAGAGAAGCTAAGATTAACACAATCTCTAAGATGAGTCTCATTTCGGGGCTAAATAAAATATAAAAATATAACCAGCCTTCAAGGAGATTTCAAGGAGAAATCGCCACACAACCAGCAAACTCTTCCCCATCTTAGATAAATTCAACATACATTATACCCTAAATATAGAATTATCTTTAAAAAAACAAGAATGTACTTAACTACCGGGTTATTGAATGACTGTACCCTAGAGATAAGAAACCAAAGAGCAGGCTTTCCTATAGTGGTTATTATTTGTGTTTAAATAAATAAAGCTTGGGGATCAGCGGGTAAAGCCATACTTGTCAGCTATACAAACCAGAATGTGGTGACACACACCTTTACTCTCAGGACTAGGGAGACAGACAGGCAAAAGCATCTTTGGGAGTTTAAGGCCACCCTGGGCTACACAAAACTGAATCTGTCTAAAAGAGAAACAGAGCTCACATAAAGGTGATCCCAGCACTTGGGATCCCATCCCTTTAATCCCAGCAGGTGGAGGTGGAGACAGGAGAGATACGGCTGGGAGGAAAAAGGGATGAATATAAAGGGAACGAGACAGGAACTTGGTGTGGTATGGAATTTGAGGATTCATGGAAAAAGGATCTCGTCCCATTTTGGTCTGAGGCAGAGGTAAGAGTGAGTGGCCAGCTGCTTTGCTTTTCTGATCTTCAGGCTGAACCCCAGTATCTGTCTCTGGGTTTTTATTATTTGTGACACAGTTTCCCAAATGAGCAATTCAAAGCAGTGGCCCTTGGACCATCAAGGAAGAAGGCAGGCTCGTATCCTGAGGACCACCGATGGTGGCGGGGCTCTAGGCACTGCAGTGTGGAGGATTACCTGTTTCTCTTCTTCCGGTGCTCTCGGTTAGAATTTTCTGACTCACTGCCACTGCTTGTGTTACAACGTGAGCGGGACCTGAAGACGAAAGCAAACGGGAGACATTTTTATGACAAATTATAGAAAGGCTCATCGGGTACTCTAGAGGTGATTGTGGAGAAAAATCACTAGTCCAAACACAAAGAACCACATTATCTCTCTCCAAGTAAGTGTTTCTGGACACAGTCAAACGTCTGACTTAAGCTTACAGTCCAAAGAGCAAGGCGGGAGGAAGAGGAAAGAACATTGTATTCCCAGAAAGGACTCTGAAGACCCAGCATGCCTAACAAAACCCAACGCGGCAAAGCTAAACTCCACAGTGTGGACAAAATAGGAAGGCCATCTCATAGTCTCCAACCCCTTACGGGGCAGGTGGAGTTTATTCCCACTGCTTTGAATTTGTACTGATCGTGTGACAGGTTTCACCGACAGAATGAGGTGTGGGGAGAGCCTGCCATTGGCTCCAAACAGGGCCATTGGCTTCTGCTTCCTTCTAGTTATCCTACAGAACACACACACACACACAATGTTGCTGCTTTAAGCCAAATGTGGAGTGGTTTACAATATGGCAGGGCATAGCTTGAGACAGTTCCTCAGAGGCTCAAAAGGAGCAGGAAAGAAAAGAGAAATGTCAGGGGTCAGGCCAGAATGGAAGACTGAGATCCGGCTAAAACCCACCAACTGGTGATAGAGTCATAGCAGCCGCAGAAGAGGGACAAACTCCACTCCCGCCCCGACGGTGAGCACCCCCATTCTTTCTCCTCCCAGACCCCTCCCGTTGCTGTCTTACCTCCTCCTCTGCTTCAGATCTGAGTCTTCGCCACTGTTATGAGCTTTCCTGAGGAAAACAAAAGAGAGCAGTCTGGTCAGCCGCTAAGAAGGCACAGATTTCACATCGGCAACTCCAGATGCCTTTGGTATTGGCTCACTTGCCACACATTCATGTCATTTGTATAATTCAGCCCTGTGACAGGTCCCAGAAATGCAGCACACCACCAGCTGGCCTCAGGAACCCAGTCATCTAGAGCAAGTCTGTGGTGTATGTGTAATGCCCGGGTTGGATAAGCTCCGCTCACCCAACAATAGGGTTGGCTGTGGTGTCTAGGAATGTAATCCGCTAGGTCAACTCTCAGCTGATTCCAGCTCTTACTGGGGCTCACTCTCTGTGTCCTGGCCGTGAATTCTTTATTTCTTCTATAATAACCTCATCTGCAACAACTCACCAGCCTACATCTTCCTTAGACTTTGCTTTTATTATCACTGACCATCTCCAGACACGGTGCGCTCTCACCACATGGCCCCCACCTCCCTCACTGAAGCCAGACCATGGGAACAGGAATCCCACCTCCTGCACTGAAGAGCTTTGTGACTCAAGCTATTCCTCCGAGGGGCTTGGTGTCTCATGTTTTAATTTTTATTTTATATGTAAGGATGTTTGGCCTGCGTGTACATCTGCATACTATCAGAGACAGTGTTGAATCCTCTAGAACTGGAGTTACAGGTTACTGTGAGCTGCTATTTGGGTGCTAGGAATCCAAGCGGGGTCCTGAAAGAAGAACCAGTGTTCTTAATCACTGAACCATCTCTCCAGCCTGAGGTGCCTCAGTTTTAATAGAACCCCCAATAAATAGCTGTGAAGAGTAAAAAACCGGGGCTGGAGAGATGCTGCAGCAGGTAAGAGCATGTATTGCTCTTGCAGAGGACCTGGGTTCAGTTTACAGGGCAGCTCACAACAATCCTGTAACTCCATCTCTTGGGGACTGAGCACTATAGGCACCTGCACTCATGTGCACTGCACACACACACACACACACACACACACACACACACAATTTAAAAATAAGAAAAATAAATCTTCAAAATAATACATTCCAAGTGACTAGGACATGAGTCACTGTTTACTCCCCTAACGTCATCCTACCCTTTCTCTGACCCATGAGCTCTGCTTATTGTGTCCTTACTCAGCTTAGGGTTCACTCGATAACCTCCATGCCAGTTCTCAGTCCTACCCCTAACTCTGCTTTTTAGCCCATCATCTTGGCATCCGGGCCGGCATTAGTGGCCAGAAGGGACTGAACCAGAGTAGGCTTGGTACAGCGTCAATCTGTATAAGTACCACGCGCTAACCGATTGCGCCACTGGAGCTCCTACAGCGTCAATCTGCTTTCTAACCATGTTTCAGTTATTCAACATTCGGACACCTTTCTCTGACCTAAGTACTGTCCCTGCAGAGTGCTATCCACATCTCCTTTGGTGGCCTTCAGCTAAGGGGCTTCTGCATTAGCTTGTCTATTTTCTCCTCCCAAAGGAACAGGTGGCATCAAATGGAGCTCCTCCATCTTCCCTCCACCTGAAATAAACACTTACCATCTCCCTGTTACTTACACAACTGTCTTGACAACAAAGGTTAGCCCCTCCCCCTGCTACCTCTCTATGCAACTCCAGTCCTGATCACGTCTCTAAATCACCTTGGTGCACTCCCTGCTGACCTCACATATATGCAACTTTCCCTGTCAAACCCTTTTGTAGATTTTAATATTATCAACTTTTTCTTTACACCATTTACTTATTTATTTGTTTGTTTGTGTTTGTGAGCGGTCAGAGGACAGCTTGAAGGAGCTGGTTCTTTCCTTCCATCATATGGCTCCCAGGATTGAACTCGGGTCATCAGATTTGGCAGCAAGCACCTTTGCTTTCTGAGCCATACATCGGCCCTTAACATTGACTCTGACTCTAGACGGCTCCTCTTCCTCCCACCTGTCCCTCCTCTCTTTCAAAGCCAAACTTCCTCAGAGATGTCTAAAGATTCTGCTCCATCTCCTTCCCATATGTCACCCAACCCTCAACAGAGTAGACATCTCTTCAACGCCACTCCCAGGCCTTCTGTCTTCCCTCTGCCTCTAACTACTTAAACCATAGAAGACACACCGATACACAACCCCTGCCCTTAGGCTAATTTGGGGGCAATTAGGCATCCACACAAGCAAAGTCACATGTGCGGTTCCACCTATAAAAGACTGCAGGTTCACACTCTGCTTTGAAAAGGGCTCACGATGCTTACACAGCAGTATCACTTTGGAGGACAGAGCCCACTGGCTGTAAGCGTCGTTCTAATTCCCAATGTAGTAACATTTAATATGCATTACTGATACCCTGCAAGGCACAGTATATAGCTAGCATATCATCTATGTTTTTAAATTAATCATTTTAATACAGAAAGCATGTGACTATCACTATTTATAAAAAATATTCTCTAACACTGTTTCAGATAAAGACTTCAGCACCCCAGCTTGCTTCATTTTGAAAAGAACAGGCTTCTCCCGTTATCCTGAGGAGACAAACAGCCATGGCTTCCGGAGCACCATGGTACCGCAGCATGCCCAGGACCCAAAGCTTCTGGTCACACTGGCATGAGAACCCTGTTCCGCTCACCTTCGCCGCATGGGCTGCGCAGACTCGTTGTCACTGCCGCAGGACAGGTTACGCTGGCGGGTACAGGGGAACTTTGGTGACTTGGTGCGATCACTGGGTGAGTTGTAGAGCCCACTGGAGTGGAAGAGAAAGCTCACGGTCCAGCTCAGGAGTTTTCACAGGACCGAGTGTAGAATGTGAGCATTGACATCATTCGGACTTTTTTTCAGAACTGTACCCTGACTATAGATCAATGGTTCTCGGCCTTCCTAATACTCCAACTTTTAATACCGTTCCTTATGTTGCAGTGACCCCAATCATAAAGTTATTTTGTTGCTACTTCATAACTGTTATTTTCTACTATTATGAATCATAATGTTAACGTCTGCTGTGGGAACCTCAAGGGGGTTGAGAACCACTGCTCTGACCCATCATGAGGGCCTTGGGGGTGACTTCTTTATACACAGTGGCTTTCCTTCTTGTCCTTCTGAAAGGTTTCACAGTGGGAAACACGCTACTGACACCCACGTCAGCACTTCCTGAAGCCACAGGGCAGTTAGTGTCCTCGACTGGGTAGGCCGTGACAGATGTGCCGCCCTCTGCTGCCCTTCTCTCCAGGGACAGTGGGCGTGCTTACCTCTGGGGTCCATTTTCTTCCCACGGCGCATGAGCCTTGCTTCTTTGGATATCAGGGCTGTTTTCATTCTTTGCTTTCTTAAAACTTGAATAATAAAGAATGGAAAATAAGTTGAGCAAAAAAAAAAATGATGTTAGTCCACACTGATTTATTCAGAACTTATTTAACAGACATTAAGATGCATATGTGCACATATTTCCTTGTTTATAGCTGTGACTCATTCCAAAAAGAACCTATGATGGCTGCTTAAGAAGCATCTTTTTTCCAGTAAGCACGTTTGTGCCTCCTCCCTGAGCCTAGTTGCATTGCTTTAGGTGAGGAGAAGTCCAGCCGACCAACTGTTAAAAACTCTAAAGAGTCCATTCTAGTGGCCAAGATAAGATGGTGGGAACTGGGTGAGCCAAAACTAAGGAGTATGGCAAAGCCTATGCAAAATCACTACTTAGAAAGTTAATTAAAAATATTTAATTTAAATTGGAATATGGTGGCAAATGCATTTAATCCCTGCACTTGGAGGGCAGAGTCAAATGGGTTTCTAAACCCAGGGTCAGGCTGTTGTACATAGGGTGTACCTGTATATTATATGTTTATATAAATATGTTATATATTATATATATGTAAATATATTATTTTTAAGGAGTTTATAGGGAGCATTCTGCATGGATGACAGTACTTTCCCCAGAAGCCATGGGTAATCAGATGAAAATCTCACTATCAGGCATGGTATCAGTATTAGTATCTCAGTTTTGTCAGAGAGGCCCCAGAGGTACCCAAAATAACATAGGCTATTACCATTGCTCTTGCTTGTCCACCATAACTAGACAATGAGACCCCATTGCTGAAGACAACAACACAATTCAGTTGCAGGACATATAGACATCAAGCTAGAACTGATCCAGAAGCTTTCTCCCTCCTGGCCAGCTTTCATTGTGCTGAAAGCTGCTACGCAGGTCATCGGGACTTACTCAGGAGTGGTGTGTGTCCTGCGATCTTGACCTACCACACAACATATGCCACAGGTATAATAATGGAATGACTGCTAACAGGGCTAGCCAACTGCTTTCAGATGAAATTTGAGGCCTGCTCCACAAGAGACAATACTTGCCTGATGAAAGAGGGGTTGGGAGAGAGTGGGAGAGAGGGAAGGATCAGGGGAGGAAAGGAGGAGGGAGACTCCTTCCCAGGAAAAGAAGACATAAGAACTACAAAGTAGACAAAGGCAGCAAGATGAAAAGGGAGAGAACCCCAGTGTAGCGGTTTGGATGACAATGGCCACCACAGACACACGTGTTTGGATGCTTGGTCCCCAGCTAGAACAGTTTGGGAAGGATTAGGAGGTGTGGCCTTGTTGGAAGAAGTGTGTCACGGGTGTATTCCCAGTTCGTTCTCTCTGCTCCCTGCTTATGGATCGGATGCAACCTCTCAGCTACTGCTCCAGGGCCACGCCTGCCACCATGCTTTCTGCCATGTTGACTGCCATGAACTCTAATCCTCTGGAATCACGAGCCCCAAATGAAATACTTTCTTTGTGAGCCAAGTTACCTTGGTCATGGTGTTTTGTCACGGCAATAAAAAAGTAACTAAGATACTGGGGCATCCACTGACATGAGGCTGGCATTCTTCAGCAGTGGCCAGATGCCCTGGCTCCAGCTTGGGCTCTGAAAGCTAACTCTGGGCAGGATCAGGCTACCCTATCTGACCTCTGCCCAGTTTCCAGATATCCTGGCTCCATCCTTCCGGATCAGAATGACTTCTGAATGCCATTTCCTGACCTAGTATCGTCTTTCTGCCCTAAGAAAGTAAATATAACTGTTGTTGTTGTTACTCAAGCCCAACAAATTGTTTTAGATCACCCAGACGAACAGAGGGATGGATCAGCAGAAGGGCATGGGGCCACAGCTCACTTCCTCTGGAGTCTTAGCTTGCCGAGAAAAAGAGACTTAGCTGCTAATCTACTTTTAATCCTGGCCTTTTGAGGGATCTGGATAGATGTTACAGAATACGGCTGTGGCAGAATTCTTAGTAATAGCAACCAAGAGGAGAAAGGGGAAAGAGACAAGGATGTTGTAAAAACAGAACAAACGGACTTCTTCCTTAGGACACCGTATTTACACAGGGATAATGCACACCTATAGAAGACACATCCAACAAGTTCACACACATCAAAGGTTTAGTACATAGCAGGCATGTTTTACATAGGTCCGATATATTACTTAACAATGACTTAAAACCACAGTCTCAAAGAACAAATTCCCAGAATAAATGCTTCCCTTCTGAAATAAGAAAAAGTAAAGCACACAGCAGAGCTTCACTACAGTAGTGCAGAGTGTGTGCTGACTAAGAGAGATAAGGTGAAGAGAAAAGAAGGGAGGTGGGGAAAGATAGAGATGAACAAGGAATTGCAAGTAGATGAATGATAGCGAATAACGAAATCCCAGTGGCATGGTGACTGTGCTCCTTCCGCAAGGCCCTTCTCACTCTGCAGCCTGTGGGGGAACCTGCCACTCTTCTGTCTTCAAGATCGTGAGCAGCAGGGAGTTGCAAAGCTGACTGAATGCTTTCTAAGGGGCTTGGGATCTGAATATCATGGAAGATTACTGTTCTTGAACTGGATCTATCACAAGCACGCCTTGTACGTGCTGACAAAGCAGCCTCTACCCAGGACTGTGAGGCCAGCTAGGGAAATGCGGTCTTCATTAAAGATAAAGAATGCATCATTCTAAAAGGTTGATCTGTAAGGAGACTGCCCCAGAACTAAAGAGAAGAAAACAGGCTGGGCAGTAGTAGTGCACGCCTGTAATCCCAGCACTCTGGGAGGCAGGCGGATCTCTGTGAGTTCAAGGCCAGCCTGTCTACAAAGCGAGCTCCAGGACAGGTTCCAAAGCTACAGAGAAACCCTGTCTTGAAAAAATCAAAAAGAAGCAAGCAAGCAAGAACCAAGAACTGTAGGGGAGACATCACAGCTCTGGAGAATACTGTACTCCTCAAAGCCACCACAGTCCAGCTGAGTGAAGGGGCCATTATTTACTAAGAAAAGATGGAGTGGAGGATGACCTAAGGCATCTTTGTGGGTCACACATCTCTGACTTCTGGGACTTCTCCATGATGTAAGTGGTACAGGCTCTATAGGGAAAGTGAGCTCATGAAGGCTACTCATTGTGTGCTGCTGTTGCTGCTCCGTGTGCATAATCAGAGACAGGAAAATGACTCTGAAAGTCCCTTAGCAGAGAACAGAGCTGACCTTTCAGGAGCCAATGCATGTAGTGTATTAAGACGAAGTTTTCCCAGTGGGAACACTGTTGGGAAAACGGGTGCCAAGGACAATGACAGAGCTTTGTATGTATGCAATCTCTGAATTCTGAGGTTCTGAGCCCTCTAAAGTTATAAACCTCTTCCCGGGGCCACAGCGCAGTGCACCAATGTAAGGAATACAGTACATTAAACAAACACATCACCCCCTTTACTTCCCCACTTCCTTTGAGTTAATCCATTGTATCGTGCCTTTAAGAACCACATGGGATTCTCAGCATGCTGCTGAGGGTTGCAGACCACGCACAGTCTGTGACTTTGCCATGCTGTGACAGCAAGGGCACATCAAAGAGGGACAGGTTCCAGTGTCTGGATTTTGCCGACATAGTAACGTATCCTTTGGATCAGACACTACCCACTGAAGCCCCCAGGTTAAAAGTACTACTCAGTTACCAAAGCAAGAAGACCCGCGACCTTGCCGACGAGGGGGAAGAGCTAGTACAGTGCACATAACTGCACACACACTGACCTTTTCACTGGCGAAGGTGCGATAATTTTAGTTGTTCCTTCATTCTCCCCATTTTCCATGCCTGTGATTACCCGATTTATGTTGTTTGATCCTAGTAAAAAAAAACAAAAGCAAAGATGGGAGACAGAAGGAGAGCGTGAGAAGGGAAACACAAAGAAACAGGAGAATGATTTGTAAGTGCAATTTTAGGGGGCTGGGGCAACGGCTCTGTCAGTAGAACTGGTACCGTTCAAACATGGAGACCAGGGTTGGGTTCCCAGAACCCATGTCAAAAAGCCAAGCATAATGGTGGGTACTTGTGATCCCAACACTGGGGAGGTGGAGACTGACAGGCCCTGTCCTGGAGGCTCAGCAGTCAGCCAGCCCCAAGTCCCCGTGAGAGGCTATGTCCCCCAAAACAGGTGCACCGCTCTCAAGGAACAACACTCAAACACTCAAGGTTGTCCTCCAGCCTCCACAAACACGCCCACACTCTCACACAAAATTCAATAAGTAAAATATAATTTGGGGTAATTTGTGACACATTTTATTGATAGATTATGACTCCAAATAAATGATCAGACACTCAGTAAGCCTGAAATATACTAGCTGACACATCAAACCCTCAGCACAGTCCTGCCCCAGGGGTCTAAGCTTTGACTTCTGAGAAACACTAGGAAGTCCTCATACAATGGATCTAAAAATAAAAACTCAGACTCTGAAAGTAAGATTCTAGGATATGTGTTACCACCTTGGAATATGAACCCTTATCAGTTCTTAAGAACAAAGCAGTAAAGTTTTCCAACATGCCCTAACTGCTCCCATCTGAAATCACATGAACTCCCCCAAACTGAAACCCATGAGAACATCCCAACTCAAAATGCAAATCGCAAAAAGAATAACATACATGTATACATGTGATATGTACATTCTCATCCCCCCTCCTCTCTCTCTCTCTCTCTCTCTCTCTCTCTCTCTCTCACACACACACACACACACACACACACAAACACACACACACACATGCTCCCAAATGCACCTTTTACAAAACATGCCTCAAAACCTACAGCTGAATGCTTAAGTTTATTCCACCGCAGAGTTGCACACATGCACGGTGGGCCAGCAGAGGGCACCCACAGCAGACACTTCGCAGGGTTCCCTGGTGAAGAATCTGGGTCCTGATCTCAGGACAGAGACCTGCAGACAGGAATGACATGGTGGCTCCAGTGGTGACTCTTCTCACTCAGAGGAGGCTGTCTGGACGGGAGGGGCAACCAGCCAACGTGCGGCAGGCAGAAGTGTCTTCTGCAGGGCTGTTCTAGAGGGTATCTCCTCCACAGGCAGAGACCCACATCCAGTCACTGCATGCTAAGTACTGGAGTCATGGGGATCACTGGGAGACTAGCGAACACCAATATTTACTGAGTGCTCACTGTGTGTCAGGCACTGTTCTACGTGGTCTGTACGTATTTACTCGTGTGATCCCCAAAATATCCTTGTGAAGTAGACACTGACATCACTTCACTGTAAAGATACAAATACAAGTCTTTGGGGCTGGAGAGAGGGCTCAGTGATGAAGTGCACTCACTGCTCTTGCAGGACTTAGGTTTGGTTCCCAGCACCCTACATAGTGATTCACTGACCATCTCTAACTCCAGTTCCAGGGGACCTAACACACTCTTATGACCACCATGGGCACATGGAACACATATATACAGGCAGGCAAAATACTCGCACATGTAAAATAAATGTCTAACAAAACTGAGCCTTTCACCCTCTAGCTCCCCAGTCAACCAGCTTTGAGATTATCAGCTCAGCCACAAAGATTTAACTCACCCTGACAAAAAAGCACTCTTGTTTTCTCTCTGCATCTAAATGCCGCCACCTACAAACAGTGTGAGTCCATCGAAATTAAAGGTCAACTGAAGGAGAGGGAAAAGGTCTACCTGGTTACTAAATGATTAGAAGGAACTAGATGAAAAAGATTAAGTAAATTAACTTTCTCCCAAACAACTGGCTTTCAGACGAAGAAAAGATTTGGTGAGCCTGAGAGATGAGAACTGGAGCAAGCCTGGGCTAAGCTGGGAACACGGCTTTGTTGAGCAGACTCAGCTGGTCCTACTGGCAATAGGTGCTTGGTACGTGGCCCTCTCCTTCAGTTCAGAAGGAACAGCTGCCAGGAGCGGGGACAAACAGTTCTTTAGTCATCTTGATGATAAGCACACATGCATGTTCAATGACAAAAACACATTTATTTTACTCCTAAAGAACTGTACACAATTTATAACTTTGACATAGGAAGTCCTTCTGTATATGTGTTGCTTTTATTAGTTAATAAATAAAGAAGCTGTTTTGGTCAGTGGCTTAGTAGAATAGAGCTGGAAGTGGGAGAGGGGAGAAGGATGGACTAAACTGAATGCTGGGAGAAAGAAGGCAGAGTCAGTGAGAAACCATGTAGCCCTGCTGGAGACAGACGCCACAGACAGAACTTTACCCTGTAAGCCACAGCCACATGGTGATACACAGACTAATGGAGATGGGTTAGTTTAGGATATAAGAGCCAGAAATACACTTGAGCTATTGGCCAAACAGTATTGCAAATAATACAGTTTCTGTGTGATTATTTCAGGGCTGAGTAGCCGGGAATGAACAAGCAGGCTCCTACAACATAACTTGACACTTGTCATGTTACTCAAACAGCCCCACTACTATTCACTTACAGCTGGACTGGGTGAGCACATGACATTAAAATGAAAAACAAAAGTCACGCTTGGCAATTGAGAAAAACTTATAGGTAAAGTAAAAGGACAGAGAGGATCTGAGTAAAGGGTATTTTTCCATAATAATAATTTCTTTTAAATACCTTCAAATATCAATTTATAAACTTAAATATATTTATCTTATATTCTATGTCTGACTGTTTTGCCTGAATCCATATATGTGCACTGTGTACACGACTACTACCTGCAGAAGCAAAAAGAGGGAACCATATCCCCTGAACTTGGAGTTCTGGATGATTGTGAGTACCGCATGAGTGCTCAAAACTAACCCTGTGTCCTCTGCAGAGCTCTTCAATTGCTGAGACATCTCTCCAGCACACACGCACACACACACACACATTTATAAATCTTTATGTTTAATTTTATTTTTCTTAATCATATTTTATCTTTTCCCTAAACTTTAATTTAAAACAAACAAATAAAAACAACTACATTTAATACTTAAGACAAAAAGTCAGGAAACATTACGGCCATCCCCAAAACAAATCTGAGAGCTTTAGTAAATCAACCACTATCCCAACACAACTTATCAGAAGAAACATTGTGTTCAGGAAGAGAACCTAGCTTGTGTGAACTGTTTCCATTTTCTTTGCATACTGGCAGTACATACTCAGCTTGCCTTAGCTGCACCAGCTTTTCACTACATATCATGGATAAAATAGATAATGATAATAATAGATAATAATAAAATATCAAAGGAGAATAAACCAGTAAAAGACGCCTTTTTTAATTCCACAGATTACGGTCAAACACACAAATGCTCAAGAAGAAAATTCTCTTCTACCACCAAGAAGATATTCATTTGCCAGAACACAGACTTACTAAACTATAAAACAAAAGCAAGTTTTCAAGCACGTGCTCTGGAAACTAGAAATGTTCCTGCATCCGATGGCCAATTACTTAAAGTTCAAATTCCTGACGTCAGCTCATCCAGACAAAGGGGTCCCTACCGCTCTGAAGAGTTTCTGGCTTCAAAGTCCCAAGACAGCAATTTAAGTGCATACACCTCCTCCCTGTAGACGTACAGACTTCCCAGCATCGATTTGCTACATGTCAACTGCAAGATCAAACAAGGCCTCTACTAACACGCTAGAGGGTAGATTAAAAGGACGGGAGCCGTGCGGAAAGCTACTGGAAGCTATGTCAATGCACAAAGGAATCTTCCGCAGTTCATCTACTTGCAGTTTCCTGTCCCTAGCACAGCGCTGCCCAGCAGTCCCATCTTTACCCGTACAACCAACTTGGAGATGTGAGGTAGATGGGCCCAAAGGTATCTCTCTCCCAGTCCTCCACCACAGCTACAGATGCACACATACTGGGAGACAGGCAGCCAGAGACATCCTTCTTCTCTACAGCTCAGAATGCCCGGTTCAAAAACAAAAAGAGACTGTAGGGAGCCTCGCTGACTCGGGAGGCTTGAAAGTTTGACTATCTGAAGATCTGGAAAGCACACCACCATTGGAGAGCCTGCTAGCAAGGGTGGAGCATCCTTCCCTCAACCTTCGGGGACCCAATGACAGCCCTCATCTCTGAATGGCTGGATGGAATCAGGAAGTATCTCAAGTTCCCGGATACCAATTATTCTTTCCCATGGTTTGAGGACAGATTGCGCCACAGGAAGAAAGAGCTAGTAGCTGAATTTCTCAAGGCACTGGCTATTCCCCCAAAGCCCAAGGGGACCCTACACCTTGGAGGAACAGAGAGCAAGCCTTCCCTGGCCACCGTCTCTCAAACCCACAACTAATGTTCTCCTGGTCTAGGGTGGAGGGGTCATTGCCCCTGCTTCAGTGAAGGATACTCGGCCACTCACTGATTTATAGTACACAATGCACATATATGAGGATTACTTTTAAAAATTATTCTATGTATGACTATTTGGCCTGCATGAATATACATATACTACATGTGTTCAGTGCCCATATAGGCCAAAAGATGGTGTCAGAGACCCTGTAAGTAGAGTTAGAGACAATTGTGAGCTTGTCATGTGGGAGCTGGGAATTGAACCCAGGTCCTGAGGAGGAGCAGCCAGTGTTGCTAACCACTAAGCCATCTCTCCAGCCCCAAGGGTTATTTTTAAAAGACTTAGTTGAAAGAAAGTTGGAAATTGTCTTTTACAATATGTATTTCCATGTCCGAGCTCCTTTTTGTGAGGTTGTAACCCAGCAGTATTTAATTTTTTCACGCAAAGAATTTTTAAGCTGGGCGGTGGTGGTGCACGCCTTTAACCCCAGCACTCAGGAGGCAGAGGCAGGTGGATCTCTGTGAATTCGAGGATAGCCTGGTCTACAAGAGCTAGTTCCAGGACAGGCTCTAAAGCCACAGAGAAACCCTG